ATCCACTCCAAACACGGGCCATTTCGAACACGATGTAGCGAAGACGGCTACAGATTTGGGTTATTCTTGTAATTTTCATGCCTTTATTCAGCAATATTTCCAGGATCTCGTTCAAAATTTCTGTTGGAAGTCGTCGAAATGGGGAAATGTAGGACGCATAAATATCTCTTTGACGTTGAAGTCCTTCGGTTCCCTTCTGAGAATTCTTTATTTGATTGTTGAGTTCGTTGATAATGTGCTTGCCGTGGCGGACCTCATCTGCGGTCGGCAACAATCTCGCACTGAAAATAGACAAGCTTGGTATATTAGCCATGCTACGCCCATAAGCTCTCCTTAATTGTTCTTCTCGGCACGTCGAACAGGTACGAGTGTTCGAAATGGCCCGTGTTTGGAGTGGATTGGTCCTTCAGCCGAAGCAAGAAACACCTCCAGGGCGTGACGAATTACCCATACAACCATATAGATACTGTCGCTTTAATAAGGTAGAGGGTTAGTTTAGAGTATAGTACAGAGCGACTGATCAATGGGCAGTGTATGGAATATAGCACAGAAGAGCAACTAGAATTCAGTATAGGAAGGGCTCGCTCTATCCCACTCAATATTACGCTCCTCAATCGATCTAGTGCGGAATTGCTCAATCCAGTCATCTCACGCAACCTTGCGGTAGAATGTCTTACCATCGGATTACCCCAGACGTCCCTTAGTACCGCCGCCAGGCTCAATGGTTCCTCTCTTAGGCGTTTGATCATGCCTATATCAAGAGATGTGCCTGTAGAATCCGTGGAGAGGATCATGGATGTTGCCCTACAGTCCACCCAGAAGGAAATAGAGCTTCATTTGGCATTACAGCGGCTTGTGGTGTGCCCCCTGGAGCATACGTTGATGCAGCGTGTTACATCCTTGACTATATCTGGAGGTTTTTCATTCCTTTATTTTTGGAGGAGGTACTGACATTGACCAAAAGGTGGTGGAGTTGCCGTTGGTGCAAATACCTCTCTCCCTTCCCTCAGGAGACTGGAACTATTTCAAGAACATGGCCATCTCTGCCTTGGGATACTGGATGCCACGAATTTGAGCCATCTAGAAAATCTTTTGGTGGTCGGCGGGCCCGAAATAGGTAACGTCTTGAGGTCAAACTCTCTCCCTACGGGCCTGTCCGAGTTGTGTCTTACCGGAATAATGTTGGACCCACCCGAAGCCCCAACGTACCAGATACACTCCTTGCCACGACTCAGTACACTGGAATTGAATCATGTACACATACAACGTCGCCTGGGCGATTATTTTTCTTGTCCACAATTGAAACGCCTCATTGCTTCGAACCTTAACCTGGATCCAGAACCTGATAGGTTTCAGTATCATGCACTCGAGACCGCGGAATCACTTTTCTTCGACCAGTCATTCTTCCGCGACACACCCCGACTAGAGAGCTTGCTCTTGGAAAACGCTCTGGTCACACTCAAGCTCGCTAAGTGCCTAGAGCGCTCCGTTTCTCTCAAGCGCATCGACATGCACGACTGCCTCACCGAGAGATTTATTCCTGTGTTCCTCGACTATGTAGCAGATCAAAGATTCCTTCCGGTTTTCGAGGAGTTCCATATTTCTCGATCGTGGTCAGAGGAGACCAAGGTAGCATACTCGAGCTTTGTTGATCGCCTTTCCGCTATCCGTCCTTCTGTCAAACTCTCCGGAAACGGCGACTTGTACTTATTTCCTGCAGAGGCTTGAAATGGCTATAGCTTCAGTTCCTACTTCATATGTATATATATCATCTTGATCGAATTTGAACAGTTTGCTAACGAAATTTTGCAAACCTTTTGAAGTCCAGGAGGCGAGACTATCGACAGAACCCTTCCAAATCAGTCCATTAGCCACTCAATTACAAACTCAGATGCCACGTAAGCTTCATTGTACTCCATTCTATTAGCCAATACTTTACAATATTATTCTTTTGGCGATCCCAACTTTCCTATTATCTCGTCTGAAAGATATCGATTTCTGGCGTCTGAGAAAGACTTGAGAGAGTTTTAATCCCCATGGCAAACTGAGAGATAATGGCCAGCGAAGACGTCGTGGCACAAGAACGAATATTCGGAAAACCAATCTTCGACCCGGACGCGTTGCGCGTCTAACCACGATCTCGCAATCTATCAACCAAATCCCTCTGTTATACTCATAATATACTATCCAACTTGCTCCCAATACAAGATTTAAAGCATTTAATGCTCATATGGCTATTTTGCCGAACTTGTCCATTTCCGACGCAAGATTCTTGCCCACTCCAGAAGAGGTCCGCTATGGCAAGCACATTATCGACGAGTTTGATGACCAAATAAGCAATCTTGAAAGGAGACTACAAGATCTTCGACGCCAGAGGGAAATCTATGAATCCTACATATCCCCATTCCGACGGGCGAAATACTAACACCATACACTGCAAAATGACGTCAAGCTCATAACAATCATCCGGATCTGTAGTCGTATTCGCCAGGTTGTATTTAGGATACCACAAATTCAGAGTGGGATACTTTTTCGGACGCCTCTTGCAAGTAGTTGGAAACGCAAGATGCGTGTACGACACACCATCCCTGCATATGACTACCTTCCTCATTTGAAGGTAATGTTAGAACATAAATGGCAATATGAAAGTACTCATGAATGGTCAGTGCATTGTATAAAACAGAAGATCAACTCGAATGCAATATAGAAAAGGCTGGCTCTATCCCGCTCCGCATCACTCTGCCTTCATATTCTGATGCAACTCTGTTGCAACCTGTCATTTCACGCGATCTTCCGGTCCAATATCTCGAG